GGCGGGTGATGTCACGGGCAGCGGTGGGTGGGTCACCCGGAGGTGAGGCGCTGCCGGGCGAGTTCAGCGCGAGTTCAGCCGCATTGCATTAGGCAAATGAGGCCGAGGCTGGTTCGGGGTGTGCTCCGGGCGGCGGGGGGGGGGGCGCGAAGGGGAGGGCGCCGGGACCACCCCCCTCCAGGGAGCTTCGCACAGTCTCTAGGCCCAGACTGACATGGGGGAGACGCCCCCTTCCGCCGTCCGTCCCTGCCTCGGCCGGTACTCGCCGCGTTCCTCCTACGGGGCCTGATAACTCTTCTCCCCCTCTCTCCCCACTCCGGGGCTCCCCTACTTGCCGTCTCCACGCCGCCTCTTGCGACCGCCTCCCGGTGTTTCGTGTGTGCCACCCGTGGGGAAAGGGTTAAGTCAGGGGCGGGGCCTGGCCTCACGGGGCGGGGCTTCTGCGGGGCGGGGCCCTGATGGGGCGGGGAGAGGGGTGGGACCAGAGGGCGGGGGTGCGTGGGCTGGGGGGCTGCGGCGCGTTCACCGGAGACCCAACGAGCCGCCCTGGTCTGGCGGAGGTGGGGCCGCGCGGGGTCTCCACCCCGACCCGGAATCCTCGCCGGGGCGAAGCCCGGGAGTCCTCCCCGGGTAGAAGGAAGTGCTCCGTGACCCCCCCTTCCCGCCCCGCCCCGCCCCGCGCCGACCTCGCTTGCCGCCGGCCGACTTAGGGAGCCGCCGGACTCTGCCTTGGACCGTGAGTCTCGAGCCGGGAACCCCTCGAGGTGAAGCCGCCGGGTTCCCGGGCCTCCGCCGGGCGTTCCCCGGGAGCATCGAGGAACCCCATCCTTGCACACGCAACTTCCCGATTTCCACCTGGGACTGGCAGAGGGGCCAACGGACTTGGACGCGGAGGACTTGGACGCGGGCCCCCTCGGCGGGGGGCGTCCCGCCGCCCGGGCCGTGGGACGGGGCGAGGGACCCCTCCCCTCTCCCCCAGCCGCCCTGCTCGGATGGCGCCGCCGGCCGAGTGAGGGGGGCGGCACGCAGGACTTCCCCGCCGGGACCTCCTGTCTTCGCGGGGGACCATGTACGAGAGCGTGGAAGTGGGGGGACTCGCTCCCACCCCTAATCCCTTTCTTGTGGTGGATTTTTATAACCAGAACCGAGCCTGTTTGCTCCCGGAGAAGGGGCTCCCCGCCCCCGGCCCCTACTCCACCCCGCTCCGGACTCCGGGTTGGAATGGCTCAAACCACTGTACGTACCGGCCGCGCGCTGCTATTGTAGCAGCCGGGGAGAGGGTGGCAGTTAGGGCTTCCTGTCCTACCCAGGGACTGGGCCAACGCGCTGGGGATTTGTCTCCCACTTTCCACCCATCTCTCTTGATGAGTGTACTAAATCTTGAACTCAGGGCCTGGTTGCTGTTCCTTAGCTTTATCACTCAAGGCTAGCACTCTACTACTTGAGCCACAGCTCCACTTCCAGCTTTTTGGTGGTTATTTATTGGAGATGAGAGTCACAGACTTTCTTGCCCAGGCTGCCTTTGAACCTCGATCCTGATCCTCAGATCTCAACCTCCTGAGTAGCCAGGATTACAAGCTTGAACCATCAGCTTGATGCATTTCTTGTGCCTCTGATGGACAGTGCCCCCTGACCTAGTAATCTTCAGTTTCCATTTATGTACTGTTAGGGCTGGGGAACTTTTAGTGTCAGGATATGTATTCTCTTCTCCCAGTGCTTCCTCTAAGGGCCCTAGCCCTTGCCACAGTTTATATCTTCTTCCTTAAGGTCCCAGAGAGCTTCACAGCTGCCTGCAGGGTGGGCTTGTTAGCATTGTAGGAGGAGGGACCACTTCTGTAAATGCCACCCCTGCCAAAGCCTGGGAGAGAGAGGTCTTCCACACACCCCCCTCCCACACACACACCATGTGGCAGCTGTTGTCCCTAGCCCTGAATCTTCAGGGTGGGTGTCAGGGGCGCACTTCCTGTCTTTGGTGTTGACAGTGAGGTGTAGCAGAAAGGGGCAACTTCACCAGACACCCAGCTGTTGTACATGCTCAGGAAGGGCAACTGGCTTAGTTGGGGGTTGTTGTGGCCCCAGGCCCTTGGCTGGCATCCTGGAGGCTTTGGTCCTGGAAATGGAGGGGAGAAACTTCACTGGCAGGAAGATTCCCCTGCCCCTTAATGTTAAGAGGGCTTGTTCTCTGGGGATGTTTGAATTTTGTGAGGCTAGGGCTGCTCTGGAAGTGAGGAACCCCACCGCTCACAGAGTCCTTTTGTTACCCAGTGTAGGGGGTAGGGCCGGGCCTTGTGCTGTCTCTTCGAGGGGCATTGGTGAGAAGTCTGGTGTCCCAGCGGGAGCCCTTACCTAGCCTGGGGTCAGGTTCTTGGGGAAGGAGAGGATCCATGCACACCCAGGGCAGAGTGCACACCTGGGCGTGTTTGTGCCAGCTGGGAGGTGGTGTGCTCTGGGTGGGAAGGTAGATGCTTGGGGGTTATTGTTAGGGGGGCTCAGGTTTCTCCCTTCCCTCCCCCGCCCCCCGGGGGGGCTCACTATTCCCTGGGGTTTCTTCCACTTTCCCAGACCTGCTGTCATCCTCCTGCCTGCCAGAGTTGGAGGCGGGGGTGGGATGTTGGTAGGTTGGAGAAGGTTGAAGAGCAAAGGACCTACCTACCTACAGCCCTACAGGGAGGGAAAACTGAAGTAGCCAGCCTCTCAGAGCCACCTCAGCCCCAGTCTATCCCCTTGTCCTGCCTCCTGACCTTTGCAGGGGTTGGGGGTACCGAATCAGCTCTAAGGCTGCTGACTGATAGGGTGGGGTGAGTGGTCATTGGCTTTGCTAGAAGGGAGAGGTGAGACTGGACACCAGGACTCGTCCTGCTGTTCTCCTACCCCACCCACCCCCACGCACTGGAGAAAGGAGGCACCTACCCCTGGGGATAGTGAGGCAGACTTAGCTCTGCTCCACTGGAGCTCTGGGGGGAAGTTGGGCTCTGAGCCCTTGGGCTCCAACCCTGCCCTTCCTTAGCCCACAGGACAGCTCAGCTCTTCCTGGCCCAGAACTGGAGGGGAGGAGGCTTGCAGTGAGCCCGCCAGCAGCCCAACTAGTGCTTCCCCAGCCACAGGAACCTGGCCACACACCTGGCCTGGGGTAGAGAAGGGCCGGGGAGGGGGAGCTGGCCTCCCAGTTCCCCCCAGTGGGGTGGGGGGTGTCTGCTTCCAGCATCCATGGTGGGGGACATTGGGTTGCTCTGAGGCCAGCAGGAAAGATCTGAAGTCTGAAGGTGGCCACTAGGCCTGGCTTGTGGGGGGCAGTGTCTGCCTTGGAAGGAGCCCCTTGGGGTATGGGGATTCTCTGGTGATTAGAGATGCCGTTCAGCCCCTCTTGGAGAATACCCCACTGCCCAGGGCCTCCACCGCTGATGGGAAGAGAGCAGGTTGGCTGTGGGAGGACCTGCTGGGGCTGCAGGGGCCCAGGGATCTTGCCTCCCTCCCACAGGCCCCATTTTGGTGCACTAGAGGACAAGGGGTGCATAGGATGTAGCTCCCCATCTGTCCCCCACCATTCTCAGCCACTTACGCCTCCACCAGCTCCCAGACGTCCAAGAATGTGAAGCACGTGGATGCCCGTAGTGGGGGAGGGGAGAGATGCTTATCAGGCAATCCATGGGCTTCTTCTGCCCTTCCACTGTGGCAGAGCAGACCCCCCCCCAGCTACCCCTGGGAGGAAGGGCAGTGGAGAGGGCCCCCGTGCCCCCTCCCCAGCTTCTCCAGGGGCTGCAGAGGAGAGGGGCCCCGTGCCCCCTCCCCAGCTTCTCCAGGGGCTGCAGAGGAGAGGGCTCCAGCTGGATTGGGAGGGGAGCCACTGGCTTGGGGCCCAGCTGATTTCCTGCTGATCTCCTCCAGGAAACTGGCCCCTTGCGCGAGGTTGCGAACAGCTCTGGGGCGTGGGGACTCCAAGCACTGAGCACCCGCCCTGGAGGGGGAGCAGAGGAGAGGCACCCGCAGGCAGCGGCTGCAAGAGGGGATGCAGGGCTTCCTGGGCCTCTTGCCAGCCTTTGCTGGGGATCTAGAACTTAGAGCTGAGAAGGTGTGGTCCTTCTGCAGTTTGAGTCCTTCTGGAAAAAGGGAGATTTGTGGGATGGGAGCCTCTGGGGAGGGAGCCCTATGGAGGGGCCAGGCTAGGGTAGTCTTTCCCCTGGAGCACCTCCTCACCTGTCTGTGCTGAGTTTATAGCTCTTTCAGAGGCCTGGAGAGGTGGGGCCTGGGCCATAGGTTCTGGGTTCAAAGGGCAGAGCAGGCAACCTCCAAGCTATGTTACCTGGGTGACAGGTTTGGATATGCTGTGGATGTAGGTGCAGGCTGTTAACATCTTCGAAGAGGGCCAGTGGCTGGGGTGAGGAGGGGGCTGGCCCAGAAAGAGGCTTCAGTCAGCCCACGGTAGACCTATAAAGTCAGGTTTGGTTTTTTGTTTGTCATGGGGCTTGAACACTGGGTCTTGGACACTGTCACTAAGCTTTTTTGCTCAAGGCTAGTGCTCTGCCACTTTGAGCCACAGGTCCACATGTGACTTTTTAGTGGTTAATTGGAGATAAGAGTCTCGTGTACTTTTTCTGCCTGGGCTGGCATTAAACCTCAGTTCTCAGATCTCAGCCTTGTGAGTAACTAGGATTACAGGCGTGAGCCACCAGTGCCTGGCCAAAAATCAGCTTTAAAAGGGTATTTCAGTGACATAAATACCCTGTGGACTTTGCCTAGCTCCAAATTTCTATAGGCCTTTGCCCCTGTGATCTCTCCTCTTATCTAGCCTTAGAACCCACTGCTGCTGCTGCTGCTCCTCCTTGGTGTCTTCTGTCTCCTGTGCCCCACCTTCCCTCCCTCCCGTGTACCCCTAAACTCTCCAGTCCTTTTCAACTGGTTCATTTTAGAGTTGGAGGCTTGGTGGGGCGCCAGGGCAAAGGATGGGTAAAGAGGGGAGAGGAGGTCAGGGCCTTCTTACTCTGCTTGTTGGAATGCCAACCAGAATTCTAGGCCAGACCCCCTTTGTCCTTGAAGCCCTCCCCCCCATTGTCTATTGTTACTGCTTTTACGTCTTGGAAAAAGTTAGTACAACAAAGGACTCCTTTGTCACTCACCCCTCTGCCTCCTGGCCTCACCCAGGCCCCCCAACCCCCCCCCCAACAGCTGTTCTTAGACCTTCCTGCCTGTCTGATTGGCTTGTGTGGCTTGGGGAGAGTGAAGTAGAGATGAGGCCTAGGCAGCTCCCTGTTGGGGTGAGCAGTAGAGAGCTGGAGGAGGTCAGTGAAGGATTGGCTAGACCTGTGGGGGTGGGCACAGGCATAGATTGTCCCTTTGCTGCAGGCTGGTTTCTGGGCAGGGAAGGAGACCTGAAACTATGGCAGTGCTGGTCAGTCTGTTGACCAGAGAAGTGATACCCAGGCCCTACTAGGAGCCAGAAGTGCCTGGTCCCCTGTCATCAGCTGCCTGGCAGCCCCTTGTGTATTCTTAGGTAAGGGGGTGGGTGGTAATCTGAGTCCAGCCCCCCCTCCCCCCACCCCGTGTCCCTCAGCTTCCTGCTTCTGTGCCTGACCTTGGTGGCTACTCTCATCTAGAGGGTGCTCATTCCCCTTTAAGTACCAGTTTCTGTGCAGAGTGTGGAGGAGCAGGGTGTGTGAGGAAGCCACCTCTATCAGGGTGGCACCCCTGTCCCTCCTTGGCTTGGTGTATATGGCGCAGGCCTCAGAAGGATGCTGGGTGGCCTCTTGGGAATGTCCAGCTGCCCAGGCTCTTGATACAGACATCCTCCCCCCCCCCCGTTCAGTCTTGGGTGATGGGCATGGAGTGAGGCACTAGGAAGGCTGGGGTTAGTGGGGCCGCTGCCCCTGCTGGCTAGGTTACCCCTGCTAGCTGCCCTCTTGGAGCTGGATAACAGGAGGGGAGGGGGTAGTAACCCGGATATACCATTGAGGCCAGACAGACAAGGCATTGATGGGAACAGACCCCCCTTTGTCATGCTCACCCCCCCACCTGGGCTTGTGGGGGTTGTGGGGGCCGTGGGGACTCTTCTTGTCTTAAAGGGGATTCCTCTACTTATCTCAGGGAGGGCCTACCCGCTCTGCCCCTCTCTGCTTCACCATTTGTGATTCTTCTTTGCACACCCCGCCTGGGACCCTGCCTTGGCCAGTGGATTGTTTGGGTGGAGGAGGGGCTGTGGTTGCTGGCAGAGAGGGTGGAAGGGGGGGCGGAAGCAGAGGGGTGAGGGAGTGGCCGCCTTTGAATATCCTGTTGACCCCAGTTTCCTCTGTCCCCAGCTTATGTCCTCTTCCCTCCCTCTTCACGTCTTAACTCCTTCCTAACTTGGGGGAGACCTGGCCAGGTGCCCAAGGGCCAGGGCTTTGGAACCTTCCCCCTGCCTGCCCAACAGGTACTCACCCAAATCTTCCTGAGGTTGAAGGTGGGTCCTAGGGAGGCAGACAGGAATGGGGGGACTGGAGGCTTTAGTGGTAGCCTCCCTCCCCCAAGTTTGGTTGGGGACGTTCCTAATACTGTCTCTGCTCAGACTTTGGAGTGCTGCCATCAGCGGTATTGAGGTGGAAGAGGCTCCTGGGTGAGGCCAAGAGTTAGGGCGGGCAGAGTACTAAAGGATGGTGACCTGGCACTCAACACCTCTGCCCTCTTCTCTCCTAGCCATTGAGACCCAGAGCAGCAGTTCGGAAGAGATAGTGCCCAGCCCACCCTCGCCACCCCCCCTCCCCCGCATCTACAAACCCTGCTTTGTCTGTCAAGACAAATCCTCAGGCTACCACTATGGAGTCAGCGCCTGCGAAGGTTGCAAGGTGAGTCCGGGAGTCATCAGAATCATTCGAACAGACAGTCTCAGTGGGATAAATGAAGGGTCCCCACTGCCACTTCCAGGGGATGCACTTGGGGTAGGGGGTGGCCTTTGAGTGTGAGCTGGCAGCTGCTGTAGAGGCGGGGTGCCTGTAATAGAACCTCCTCTAAAGATGAGCAGGGCACCCCCAAACCAAAGGGTCCCCTCTTGCCTGAGCTCTCTGGATCCATCTCCCAGCTGGCAAGGCGTACATACAAGCTCTACCACCGCTGCCCAGGTTGCCATGGTGAGCTGGCTGCCGACTGGCTCTTGGCTGGGGACCCAAGAGGTCTGCCTTGGCCGCCTGGCGGGAGGTGGTCAGGAGCAGGCACCCTGCCTTGGCCTCCTCTTCAGCCATCCAGGACAGGGCCCTTCCCCCCCTCCCCCTGGGGTCCTGCTGGATTCCTGTCCTCATGCTAGGTTCCAGATGCAGACATGGCTGCACCTTTCCTGCAGCTTCCCGTCTGGTGTCCTAGCTGCTACTCCATTCTTGGTTCCTGCTTCAGACACAGGATCCTGGGAGCTGTGCAGATTCAGGGTCTGGGGCTCTGGGACACCTCTCAGCCTGAAGTGGCTGTCTCCAGATGTGAGAGAAAGGTCAAGGGCAAAGCTGCAGACTATCTGCTGATTCTCTCTGGTTGTTTCTGCTTATTCCTACCTATTCTTTCCTTCCTTCCTTCCTTCCCTCCCTCCCTCCCTTTTTTTGGTCATGGGGCTTGAACTCTGGGCCTGGGTGCTGACCCTGAGCTCTTCAGCTCAAGGCTAGTGCTCTTACCACTTGAGCTACAGGGCACTTCTGGCTTTTTCTGCTTATGTAGTGCTGAGGAATCAAACCCAGGGCCTCATGCATGTGAGTCAAGCACTCTACCACTGAGTAACTTTCCCAGCCCTTCTTCCTCTCTCCCTCCCTCCCCCCTTTCTTTCTCTCTTCTCTCTCTCTTCCTTCCTTCCTTCCTTCCTTCCTTCCTTCCTTC